ATATATACCAAAAAATTGCATTTTTTGATCCGTTTCCATTTATATACGTATATGGGACCTTTGAGCAAACAATAGACCCTTAAATCCAATTTTTAGTGTTTTGCAACTTTGTTTTAGCGTTAAAACAAGTGCCCGGGCTTAACCAAGATGTTGAGCCACATCGCCCAGACTTTGCAGGAATATAAAGAAACATATTCCGCACCCATCGCGAGATAGCCGCATCCTGGGCGATGCCTGCTTTGGTCCCTGTAGGGCCAAAAGTGCCATTTTTCACTATTAGACCCAAGTTTGGAGCCTCCAAAGAGATGGAAGGTGACGTCACCAGACCCCAGCATTGTGGGATCTCTTTTCTAATATGGTCAACTGCAAACAAAACCATACGCCGCTTAATTCTGGGATTTTCGACCCACCCTACTGTTCAGTACCTCAAGAGTGAGAAGGTGAAGATTCCTGACAAGGTACGGCCAGGAAGGTGACCGCCATAAGAGATTGAGAGATTGACCGTCTAGGTATGTTTTGAAGTAGAAAAGGTACAAGGTAGGTGTACGCCAGACCGTGTCTTGTCGTACACTGCGAGAAAAAAACTACAGGGAATCCTATTAATTTTTTCACAGCGTCGCTCTGTACCCAAAACCACAGTGATCTCCGTCTTTTAAAAGACAGAGCTCACTGTTGTTTTTTGAGTTCATCTCTCTGTTGTCCGAGCGGCCAATGCCCAGTTGTCCAGTTGACCAATCAGGATCTTCACTGTAAAAAACTCTTCTAATCAAATTCCTATACATGTATATGAAGCTATTTACATATACACGTATAGGAATTTTACCATGCACTCGTATGGTTATTTTCCTATACATCGGTACGGGATTATGACTATTCCGTGTATAGGCGTTCTCCTATCCGTTGTATAGGAATTTTCCTTTACATCGGAATGGCGCAACTGCAATGCATGTATAGGATTTCCACCACAATATCTAAATTAGGCAGGCTGAACCGGATGAACTGTCAGATATTTAATACAACGGCCGAACTGTCCGCCGTAATAGATCATCGAGTATGGTACTGATCCTTCATCGCGGCCTTCCAAATTGGCAAAGTTCGACTTTACCAAAAGGACACCCAAGGTGAATGTATCATCTCAGTAAAAATGATGTAAGAGTTGAAAGGAAAACTTTCTTACAAAGTGATGGGTCGCGAGCCCCCTGACCCAACCCAATTCCTAGCCGCAGCGTGCACCGAGAAGTAAGTCCGTCGAAACGACACTAGCGCCATCTAGCGGATAATCCGGACAGTGGGCAAACAAGCAGGTTTTGTGAATTTTGTACGTTGTTTACAAATAATCGCATTGATTACCAGTGTTAAGACAACATACAACAATATGAATCGCTGTTCATGAGGTTGATGGCAAATCAACCAATCTGGGCGTAGTGTCAAGTCAGAGCGTGATGACAGTGCCAATAAGTCTGGGCATGATGACAGTGACAGTGATATCTGCACAAGAATCAGAAAAAGGGCCAAAGTCATCGGCAGCGAGTCGGAGAAGGTGGATGGTCAGCCATCAGGAAATGATGACACGGAAATTGAATCAGTACGGAGCTCACCCCCTCAGAACTTCAATTTCAATCATCCCAGCTTCTCTTTACTGAGCTTGACACTGCATCTGAGAGGCAAGCTCGTGAGCTTAATGATCGACTCCGTATTGGTGCAGTGTTCTCAAACGGGAGGTCCGGCTCGGCCCACGGCGTCCCTAGCCTCTGTCGCGCTAGAACCCGGCCCGGCCTGGCGACTTGAGCATGGGCCGGGCGGCCCGGCCCGTCTTGTGGCTTGGGTCGTCTGACGGCCCGCTCCGCCCGCCGCTTAGATCTAGGGAGTGGCGTGGCGCTGCGTTGCGTCGCCGTTGCCCGGCTCGGCATGGCGCGGCCTGGCCGACGCCGACGGACGCCCGGCTCGGCACGGCCCGGCCGGCTGACGCACGTTTGAGAATGCGCGCGCGTCGTTCAAACGTGTCATGGGACGCGAGTAGTATAGGTAGGACTTTTGGACACTTGTCTCCTGGGTCGGACTTGTGGACACCTTGAGCGTGGGTAACCTAACCGAACCTAAGCAGGTCTGATCTTGAGCGTGGGTAACCTAACCGAACCTAAGCAGGTCTGGACCCGCCCCTGGGTCGGACTTTTGGACACCTTGACCTTCCCAACCTAAGCAGGTCATCATCTTGAGCAGTGCAAACCTAACCGAACCTAAGGTGGACCAGCCTCGGTGCGCTCCCCTCTGGTTCCGCCGCTGGTGCCGCGAGGCGAAGCCGCGGCGCGCTCCCCTCCCTTGGCCCGCCCCTACCACCGCGCCGTGCACCGCGGCCAGGTGTGGAGCGGTGCCGCGAAGCCGCGACGGTGAGAAAAAAAAATGGCAACTTCACCCAGTGGGATTCGAACCAGGGCCTCCGCGCTGAAAAGCGCAGTAGAGCACACTCACTTATCCACTGGGCTACTAAGCCGTGCTTAGAGATAGTGTGTGCGGTCTGGCTTTTTAAATGTAAGTGCAGCACAGCCCAACGTGGTGTGTTTTTTGTGTTGGGGCCAGACCAGCTCCCCGGTCTCCGGTGTCTCGTAGATTTAGGGCGGTTTAAGGACATGCTGGTCCAGCAGACTGGCCACCGGTGGAAAATCACATTCATTGTTTATTGGTTTTCGTGATTATTTTATTGTTTTTTTTTCGTTTTTTCTTTATTTGTTTTAGTCAGTTTCATCAGGAGGATAGAATGCCATGATTTCTTGGGCATGTTTGCACAAGGCTGACCAAGACGTTGGGCCGAAGTAAGTGTGTACTAAGGCAGCCCCTTTTAAATTGACTTCTCTTTCTATCATTATGAATCGCTTATCTCTGACTTGCATGAAATGAATGATATGAGATAGCAATCTTACATAGCGTCCAATGTGTTCACTGGTCCGTCCAGACAGATGGGCCGTAATGTGAGGGCAAAGCCAGTGTCTTTCTGAGTAAAAATCACTCACTTCAAAAATAGTGAATACATCTTGAACTTGGCCTCTTTTCAGTATCTGCACATTGTCATAATCATGAGAGCAAGTGTGAAGGTTACGCCGGGCCACCAGCTCCTTACCGCTGCTTCCATTGAGAGTAAATGAAAGTGACTCCATCGCGCTCGGCTGCTTTCGTCTGAATGATGGTCCTGCACGCGGAGCACGCCTTTTATCTGGAGCGAGAAGTTCTCATTTAGGCCATGAGGTGGCGCCAGTGGCGCTGCCGCGCAGCACTGCAGTGCGCACACTGTAATTTAAAGGGTGAGACATCTCACCAGTTTTCGGCGATACAAAATGTATCACCGAAAAAAAGGTCGTACACAAATGTATAACCGAAAAATGGTCGTACACGCATGTATCACCGATAAAAAGGTCGTACACAAATGTATCACCGAAACAGAGGTCAGACATCAGCGAGATTGGCCCTTGTTTCCCTGGGGAAGTGTCACCCTTTTTTCGGTGATACATTTGTGTACGACCCTTTTTCCGAAGTAACATTCGTGTACGACCTTTTTTCGGTGATACATGCGTGTACGACCATTTTGTCGGTGATACATTTTAGTATCACCCTTTGTCGGTGAGACAGTTATGTCTCACCCCTCAGAGAGTGAGATGTATCACCATTTGATTTTCAGTGCATGCGCCGAAAATTCTAGCGTTTTCAGAACGAGCCCAAAAAATTTATCGTGTTTTCTGAAATGCCAGTAAAATTTCTTGATGTTTTCAGAAATGCCAGAAAAATTTCTTGTGTTTTCCAGAAAAAAATTTTGCGTACCACAAAACTTTTTTGTGTACCAAAATTTTTTTTGTGTACTTTCACGTGTATTTCTTATGGACCAAATTTTTTTTGGCGTACCAAAAGTTTTTTTGTGTACCAAATTACTTTTTCATGTTTACAAATGTTTTTTAACACAAACTTTTTCTTGTTGTCATTTTTTTCTTGTGCACGCACGTTGTACTTTCGTGTCGTGTCCTAACACGCAATTCTTTTTGTTTCCAAACATGCGCTTGTACATTTTGTGTACCACTCTGTCGTTTTTTTCAGTGTCGGAACAAAATAACTTTTTGACAAAGGAATGCAGAGAGACACCATGTGCGCGGTGAATCAAGTACAGCAGACAGTACTCTCCACACACTTGTGAATCAATGGATTGTAAACTCGCATGATTGTAAGTCCACTTTTTACACAGTCGGTCAAGAAATTTTTTATGATTCGGGACGATGGGTGGCATGCCATAGGAGTCCCAGAATTCACCCTCGCCGTGCTTTCCGATGTAGAAAGCGACCCAATGCTGACCTGGTTTTGAAATAGGATCCGTGTTGGCAATTATCAAGGCGGGGCGCTTGTGTAGCCGATGTGGTAGTGTCACTGAAATTCGAAGGGTGAGACATCTCACCAATTTTCGGCGATACCAAATGTATCACCGAAAAAATGGTCGTACACGCATGTATCACCGAAAAAATGGTCGTACACGCATGTATCACCGAAAAAATGGTCGTACACGCATGTATCACCGAAAAAAGGGTCGTACAGAAATGTATCACCGAAAAAACGGTGAGACATCAGCGAGATTGGCCCTTGTTTTCCTGGGGAAGTATCACCCTTTTTTCGGTGATACATTTGTGTACGACCTTTTTTTCGGTGATACATGCGTGTACGACCATTTTTTCGGTGATACATGAGTGTACGACTATTTTTTCGGAGATACATTTTAGTATCACCATTTTTTCGGTGAGACAGTTATGTCTCATCCATCAGAGAGTGAGATGTATCACTATTTGATTTTCAGTGGTGTCCGAGGCGAAGACGCCCTCGAACATAGGAGACACATGTTTATCTCTTTTCATGAGCGAATCTAAGGAAAGCCCATCCATTTTTTTTTTAGTTTAAGTGATTGTTTTATATTTTTGTATTTGGTTTTTAAGTTTTATTATTACTTTTTAAACGTTATAATCGACAACAACGTTTCGATGTTTGTCAATCTCAATCAGATTTTGGAATTCAGCATACACAATGCAATTTATTGGTTGGGCAAGAGGTGCTGAGAACTTGAGTTCCAGTCTAAGAGTGCCTTGCTTCTGGAGATTCCAGTGGGGCTCGCTGGCCGAAAGGTCGGGAGACAAATCGAAACAGAAGAGTGTGTTTCCTCCAGGGTAATCCGAGTAGCTGATATTGTTCCCTTCGTCTTTCCAGTGTATTCCTGTTCCACAGAAAAGGGTGTTGTAGCTTTCCATGTACAGGCCGTTGCCAAAGTCAGGGGTAAGGGGCTGGGAGGGGACGGGGTGGCCGTCGACCATGAGACTCAGGTAATTGATATTAAAATGTTGGAAATTAAAACCATTCCGAGCGTAATCACCATTAAAGGCTCGGTTGTCTACAAAGCCAATAATGATTCTTTGGGGAAGCTGGTTCATAAAAAGATTGTCCAAATTTTTATCGCGCAGCCCTTGTGTTATCGTGACTGTTTTGATGTCAACTCGATTCACAGGGTATTTGGCAGGCGACTTTTCAAGAGCTTGGGCATGACCCAGCATGACCGAAGGGGAAATGGCTACTTTTCTAATGTAAAGAGTCGCGTCTAAAAGTTTGATACGCTCAGTACCAGCAGTAGACATGAGAGTAAAGGCATCTCGGTTCCGAATGAGTTTAATTCTCATTTCCACATTGTTCAGCAAGAAATGATCTTGATTAAAAAAATCAATATGTAGAGGACCCATGAGTTCAAATTGACGACTGTTTGAAGTGCGAGATCGCCGCCAGGCCAGTCCAAGGTTTTCTCGGCCATCGAGTGAATCGAAATGGCCAGGTGTGTCCTCGTACCACATGCGTTGTGTCATGTGGGACTTTTTTGCCGATGCGTCATAATTCATGAGAGACTCTATGTAGGCTCTTTAAGCATAGGTCATGCTTGAATGACTAATGACTTTTTGATTGAGACTCACATCGACTTGGCTCCAAAGAGCGTGGAGGGCGTAATTTACTGGAGCAGTATCATTCTGATCGTTTGCAACGATATCTGTGCCATCTGCCTTGACAATTTTGCCTTTGACATACAAAAGAGTATGGGCGGGGTCAATGTACTCATGCCCAACTCCAGGTATGGAAAATTCGACCGTGTTAGAGGAATCTAATGTGGTCAAGGGTTTGTAAGGAACCCAATGAGTTGATTCAAGTGCAGTCTGAGTGGGTGGAATAATCCACAGATCCAGCTCAGATCGGAGGCACTCTGAAGAAGCTGCGTGCATGAATGCCATTTTTTTTCTAAGAAAAGTAGTCTGCACTAGAGACGGTCTTTCTCTTACGAGACTTCGGAACGTTATGAGCCTTAGGGGCCCGTTTGCGCCTTTTTATAGCACCAGACCCTGCCATTTGGTCAGCTTTCCTTTTGGCCAGGTTGCCCGCGGCCTCACCGACGCGTTTGTTCATGCTTCCCCGGAAATTCGCACCGTCCGCGACATCGGCCAGTACCGCGCTACCCGCCCGGGCTGCCTCCTTCCCCACGGCCGACGCACCGCTCCGGAGAATGGGGAGAATAGTACGGAAAAGACCGCCGAGCCAAGAACCGATACCGTAGCCCTTCTGGAAGGAACTACCCGCGTAAAATTGCCCTAAACCGCCACCGGCCTGCGTGACGTAATGGTTCGTTATTTGGTTTTGAGGAGCCATTTTTTTCTAAGACACCTGTCTAAAGTGTACCAGTAAGGTCAACGTCCCGTGTTCAAATGGGAGATAACGCCCTGCGTGGTCCCTTATATCTATTTGGATCGTGTCAAACGACCGTGTATTTATGTCGAAATAAATCGGATGCTCGCAGTGAAAAATAGTCATGCTGCCGAACCGTGCATTTATATCTACTGGGACCGTGCGGAGTATGGGAGCCCTCGTGTGCCCAATGATCTGATCAGCCAGAATGTCCATGTAAATAAAGAGTTGTGATGGAATGCCCAAACTCAATTCAACAGGCTTGACGCCACTAATTTTTTCGTTAGCAGGGTAAGGGCCGTGGTGGTCCAAACCGAGCTGCAATGCGAGGCGAGGGGAAAAGTGGACCTTCATATCGGGTCTTTCGGGCTGAAAGGGCTGAAACTCGACACGGCGATCATCCGTTTCACTCAGTGGCGGGTCACCCTCAATGTCATTGTTGAGGACCGACACCGCAATGTTTACTGCCTCCAGAAAATCGGACTTAGAAGGAAAGCAGCCGGGTTTGACAAAAACCGTGTCCACAGAGCCAGGCGCCAGTAACGTGATTTCGTTTTCCCCTTCAATCACTTGAGCGATCGTGTTTGGATAGTGAAGCTCAATGAGAGCAGCCTGCCATTGGCCATGCAACTCCATTCGCTTTGAGAGCTCTATTTTAAAATGAGATGTTTTATTATGGGGGTATATTTCGGGGCTAGCGTTACTTGGAAGAAAGGCATAGAAATCCATTATGTTTTGATTAAATCAGAATCTAGAATCCAGGAACGACTTTTCTCAGGATAACCTCTCCAGTGCACCAAGTGCTTTCGACTATTCTGTTTCCCTTTTGATCGCACTATATATGCGATTTTGAAGACCTCCGGCTTCGTGACTTTCTGTAGCTCTTTTTCGTAAAAAGTCCCCAAAATTGAATCTGAATCGAAGTCCTCCAGGCGGTACACCGGCAACGCATGAGGAATGACCTGAATGACCTTGTAGACTTCTTCTGACCAGCCCCATGTATATCCTTTCTCGAACTTTTTTTTCTCTCGGGTGATCCTGACATCGCCTGACATAGTCACCTACCTTAAACTTCGTTTTTTTGTTTGTGAGTTTCATTCCATGGTACAGGTTATTATATACCTCCAGTACTCTGTCTTCAGTCACATCCACAGGCCTCATGTTGATAGATCTATGATACGTGTGATTATAGGCATGCACTATTTTTTCCAGTGTACCATTCACATAGCAATAATTTTCAGTTGCAGTGAAATATCTGTACAACTTTGATTTAATTGTTTTCTGCCAACGCTCTACTATGGCACATTTCGTGTCAGGGTTATTCGTGGAAATATAAGTGATGTTGTGTTTCTTAAGAAACTGCTGCACAATCTTATTTTTGTATTCCGTTCCTTTGTCCGAGAAAAGGCGCACTGGGCGCCGCGGAGTGGTTTGGAACAAAGTTTCAAAACCTTTGACTATGGATGCACCTGATTTATTTTTAAGAGGAATAGCCCATCCAAATTTTGAAAACACGTCAATGACACATAATACAAATGTGTGTCCTTCATTATCTTGTTTCAGAGCCGTTAAGTCTGTCAAATCAGTTTGCCAGGATTCATCAATATTATCTGCATAGGTGACATTACGAGGGAAATTCCGTCTCGCAGGTTTGTGCAGTGTGTAGGCATCTTCCCCCTGTAAATACTGATCTACTTTCTCTTTCTTTTCCCCCGTAGCCTGCCAAAGTTTCCAGGCTGAACTGTACGAAGCAGGGTGCTTTGGATCATGGAAAATATCACCAAGTTTTCCAGGCATGCTTTTTTTTGGGAACAACTTTTATAGTTTTTATTTCTTTTTTTGGCTTTTTTAATGGAGTTTGAGTGACAACAAGACTACCACCACTCTGTTTGGCTTGAAGAATAGCTGTTCTTCTCTTTTCGTTACCAATCAAGTCAAGAGGAAGGTTTAATTGGGCGAGGGTTTGAATGAACTGAGTAACGCCGTGTGGCTCAAAATTCTTTCGAAAACGAGTCAGATCAGAAATCAAATCAATAATATTAGAATGTGGAATAGCGGTTCCCTTGAGAGAGACGACTCCGTTGTTATCCCAACTGACGGGTGAGCCACTGACTGCTAAATAATCATGAATTTTAACAGCTTGGTCTTTATATGTTTTGGGGAGCACGGAAGCTAATTGCTGCCTGATAGCCGAAGTAGGGTTAGGATTCTCTTTTTCCTCTTTGTCTTCAAGAATAGAAGATATTTCCAATGAGATGGGTTTGCTGGACTCTTTGGAAAAGTGGAGGAAGCGTTGAAGCACCTCATTGTATTTTTTCCATTTTTCAGAGTCATCTGCGTACTGTTTGCGTAAAACATAGTTCATTTCCGTGTCCATTGAACTCATTTGAGTATGGGAGACAGAGGGAGTGGGGTCATTCATTCGCGCCACACTGTCATGTGGCACGAGAATCATTTTTTTCACGTGATTCATTTGAAAAGGCTAGGGAGTACGGAAGCAACAATCGAAAGTAACAAGGGAAGGAAGGCACCTCCTTTCTGAACAAGATGTTCTTTCTTGGCTTTCCAGCCCTCACCCTTTTGTACTAAACGGCGAAAGTCCGTGCGGTACCGCTTGAGTTTGGACTTTTGTGCCGGACTGAGGGGTATGTTCCCAAGAAGGAGATTGTCAATGATCTCACAAATAGCGAAAATGATCGCTTTATCTGATTCACGCAGAATCGCTTTACGGAGGTTAGGTTTGGCCGACTGAAGGACTTGCAGGACAGCACGATGTGACTGCACGCTGGGAGCCATCATTTAGCAATGACTAAACCATCCCTTGTAGGTCTCTTTTATACTTTGCTTTGGGGATGTAAATGACACAGGACTCGTCAGGAAAAATCTTGGTTCTGATTCTGAGGTGATCCAATTGACGGGGATGAAAATCAAACAGAATGTAAGAATAACCGGCCTGTGTTGCGTCTTGGTACGCTTCAAGAAGGGCTTTCCAGTGTAGGGGGTCCACTTGCAAGCAAAATGTTCTAATTTGGGCCAAGTCCCGCGAAGTTTTAAATAAAGTAATGTAGTGGGAGTTCAAACTAATTTGTCTGAGCCCATCAGGAAACAGGGATTGGCTCAAAAAGAAAATAGATAGATTCCTATGATGTGACCCCTTTATGAAAAATTTAAGGAGTTCTTTTCCATGAGACTTAATTTTTTCCAAAAAATCATCAATAATCACTAATTTTGGGCCCTCGCCTGTCGGGTGATCACTCATGAAAGGTAATTCTTGTCGAAAATCGACACATGAAGACAACTCTTAGTGGTTGCCATTCAGAATAATAAAATATGATCTTTTCAAAGACAGTGTCAAACATAACCTCCCTTTTTTCAATCAGTTTTTTCATGAAAAATGTCTTTCCCGCCCCAGTACCACCCACAATGAGGGCAGTGCAAGGATGTTGATACTTCAGATCCATTTCAGAAGTCATTATGTTATGAATTGAAAATCAAAATACATTGGCTTTTATAGGACTCGACACCGCATTCACCCTGAACCATTCCAAGCGACCTTTCCTCCCTTGGCTGAAAAGCGTTGACAATAGCGACCGCCATCGAGGTCATCCAAAAGCACGCCAAGAGGCGGACCGTCTTGGCCGAGGACAGCCTTGGACGTCCATCCTAACGCTCTCGTTGATCAAGAAGTTAAGTTTAGGGCAAAATGAAAGTATTTTTTTAGGTTATGGGGCCTGACCAGCCATCACCCCTGCAGCCGATGTCTCGTAGATTTAGCGCGGTCTAAGGACACGCTGGTCCAGCAGACTGACCTTCAGTGGAAATCAGGTTAATCTTTATTTGTTTTTAGCGATTATTATATTAGTTTTTTTTTTTATTTTCTGTATTATTTACTGTGGTATCATGCTGTTTAAGGACATGCTGGTCCAACCGGTCTGCCAGCGGTGTCACGGAATGGTTATTGTTCCGCAAAATAAAATTGTAGCCATAGTGCTAGGGCTCTTGCGTTCTTTGCAGCACATGATAGTTTGGGATTAACTGAGTGAAGCTCAGTGGAGCAACCCACGTTAAACCGTGGGAGCTTTTTGAGAGGAGGACACCCCATTCTCTCGAAATTAAAGACAGTGAGGTTAGGGAG